AAATTAGATGCGTTTTCAGTTGAGGCAATAATAAACAGTCTAAAATTGGGCTCTTATATGAATGCATTAGACTTGTTTTAAATGTAGTGCCACACCCAGGAATTAGGGCCTATTTTTCTAGCAGTTTCTGAAAGTTGAACAAGAGTTTGCCTCAGAATTATGTGGGTTGAATATCTGTGGTCGTCTTTCTCCTTATTGCAGATGCCTCCCTCTTTAAATGAGTTTATTTTAATGAACCCTGTCTCCTTCACATAGCTTTTAGAAGTCTCCTCGCTAAATGTTACAATTTTCTCGTCACTTTAAATGGACACGTTGTGCAATGGGAGGCCACAATATAAATACCAGTGACTTCTATATCACTGACAATATATTTATGTATGTAAAGTTATTGATGTCATTGCAGAATATGACCGATTTTTTATTATTGCCACATTAATTTCGTTTACTCCATTACAATTTCAATGCTTTTGGGTATTTTCTAAAGCTATAATATTCATCCTTCTGGGTTTGGGCACTGTTGTGCCTGGGGGCACTGCCTGTACCCTCCTCTCTCCCTCCCTCACTCTCTCACTCCAGTGAAGACGGTCCTTTGGGAACAAACTTGCTTGAACATCCTCCTCTTTTCTGCAATATTGCAAGCTCCTGGTGATGTGTTGATTGCAATACGAAAGGTCTAGAGCTATCATTCTACTCCCCCTGTGGTTGCTTTGCATCCTGTATCGCTTGGTTTGCGATATTTGCATATATATATATATATATATATATATATATATATATATATATATATATATATATATATATATATATATATAATATATATATATATATATATATAAATATATAATATATATATATATATATGTCGTGCCGAATAGGTAGAACTTGTTATCTTGGCTTAAATAGCAACACTCATCTTGCCATATAGGACAAGCGAAAATTTGTGTATGCAATAATTTCGCCAAAATCATTCTGAACCTAACGAAAAAATATATTTCACTGTGTTTGTTTAGTAATAAATTATTGTAAACAAATTTAAAATATATTTAGTTGGGTTAGGCTAAAATAAATTGTTCTTGTTATAATAAGGTTAGGTAAGTTTTCTAAGATTCTTTTGGTGCAAAATTATAAATTTTTACATCAACATTAATGAAAAAAATATATCTTTAAACGTATAAGAGAAAATTTCAGAAAGGACTTAATTTTAAATGAGTTCTTGCTAATTGACCAGTTTTACATATTCGGCACTACATATATATATATAATATATATAATATATAAAATATATATATATATATATATATATATATATATAATATATATATATAATATATTATATATATATATATATTATATATATATATATATATATAATACACATATATATATATATGTCGTGCCGAATAGGCAGAACTTTCGGTCTTGGCTTAAATAGCAACGCTCATCTTGCCATATAGGCCAAGCTAAAATTTGTGTATGCAATAATTTCGCCAAAATCATTCTGAACCTAACGGAAAAAACATATTTCACTGTGTTTGTTTAGTAATAAATTATTGTAAACAAATTTAAAATATATTTAGTTAGGTTAGGCTAAAATAAATTGTTCTTGTTATAATAAGGTTAGGTAAGTTTTCTTAGATACTTTTGGTGCAAAATTAAAATTTTTTACATCACAATAATGAAAAAAATCTATCTTTAAACGTATAAGAGAAAATTTTAGAAAGGACTTAATTTTAAATGAGTTCTTGCTAATTGACTAGTTTTACATATTCCCACGACATTTTTATATATTTTTATATATATATATATATATATATATATATTTTATATATATATATATATATATATATATCATATTAATATAATATTATACTAAATATATATCAATAACAACACTGCGACTAGCCAAGGACTCGAACCCATGCTGCTTTGGCCTGCCTCATGGTGAGCGAAAACTTATGACGCCTTTATCCACTGGACCATTCAATATTTAAGAGTAGCGCATCCAGCGGAACTGGATGTTGTACTCCTTACCCAAGGACACACGATGGTGTGGATGACTCTAGGCTAATTTCATTCTAGTTCCTGTTTGGTGTACTAGTTTAACGAGCAGTATTTTATATTATTGTGACCTCCTCATGCCTGGCATACTTCTCTTCTGCTGTGTGACACACGAGACCATGAAGTCCGAATTGATCAGCCGTCGCCCTGCCGCAAATACATCTACGTTCGGTGAGGATTGGGCGGCTAGGCGAAGAGCAACACCAATCCGAATGGCCTGTGGGTCGAGTCGAGTGCCCAGGGAGGAACTGGGAACAGCTAAATGGAATTCTCCAGAGTGTGGTGCCTTCACTGCCCATGAACGAGTGGTATTGATCAATAACAACACTGTGTTGTTATTGATCAATACTACTCGTTCGTGGGCACAATAATATAAAATACTGCTCGTTATACTAATACACAAAACAGGGACTAAAATGAAATTAGCCTAGAGAGTCATCCACATCATCGTATGTCCTTGGGTAGCGAGTACAACATCCAGTTCCACTGGATGCGCTACTCTTAAGGATTGATTGGTCCAGTGGATTAAGGCGTCATAAGTTTTCGCCCACCATGAGGCAGGCCAAAGCAGCATGAGTTCGTGTCCTTGGCTAGTCGCAACGTTCATATATATATATATATATATATATATATATATATATATATATATATATATATATATATATATATATATATATATATATATATATATATAATATATATATATATATGTCGTGCCGAATAGGTAGAACTTGCGATCTTGGCTTAAATAGCAACACTCATCTTGCCATATAGGACAAGCGAAAATTTGTGTATGGAATAATTTCGCCAAAATCATTCTTAACCTACCGAAAAAAAATATATTTCATTGTGTTTGTTTAGTATTAAATTATTGTAAACAAATCTAAAATATATTTAGTTGGGTTAGGCTAAAATAAATTACTCTTGTTATAATAAGGTTAGGTAAGTTTTCTAAGATTCTTTTAGTGCAAAATTATAAATTTTTACATTAACATTAATGAAAAAAATATATCTTTAAACGTATAAGAGAAAATTTTAGAAAGGACTTAATTTTAAATGAGTTCTTGCTAATTGACCAGTTTTACATATTCGGCACGACATATATATATATATAAATATATATATATATATATATATATATAATATATATATATATATATATATATATATATATATGTATATATATATATATATATATTAATACACAATAACATGGTTGGGGTGCTTGAACTGTAGTCCTGGAGTTGGAAGGTTCACCTCTTTACCGCTGAGCTACGGAGCTTCTCTAGGGGCAGATTGGGAAGCATTATTTCCCTCCCTGTCATTTGTAGCAAAGGTATATTATAACTCTCTGTATTGTTTTTCCATTATATATTACACACTATGATTGACAGCGTAAAATACGTGTTTATGATACTGACTCAGTGCTAATGGTTCTAAGCTCAATAATTTTCATTTGTTGATGGCCTCTATTTCCCTCATAGCCGAAATTCCAGAGCTCAGGATCACAACAACAAAAATGGAGAAAATTGAGCATGCAATGTTTTTATTATTATTATTATTATTATTATTATTATTATTATTATTATTATTATTATTATATTATTATTATTATTATTATTGTTGTTGTTGTTGTTGCTGTTGTTGTTATTATTATTTTATTATTATTATTATTATTATTATTATTATTATTATTATTATTATTATTATTATTGTTGTTATTATTATTGTTATTGTTATTATTATTGTTATTATTATTATTATAACTATTATTATAGCTATTATAAGAACATAAGAACATAAGAAAGGAGGAACACTGCAGGAGGCCTGCTGGCCCATACTAGGCAGGTCCTTTACAATTCATCCCACTAACAAAACATTTGCCCTACCCAATTTTCAATGCCACCCAAGAAATAAGCTCTGATGTGAAAGTCCCACTCAAATCCAACCCATCCCACTCATGTACTTATCCAACCTAGATTTGAAACTACCCAAAGTCCCAGCCTCAATAACCCAACTAGGTAGACTGTTCCACTCATCAACTACCCTATTTCCAAACCAATACTTTCCGATGTCCTTTCTAAATCTAAACTTATCTAATTTAAATCCATTACTGCGCGTTCTCTCTTGGAGAGACATCCTCAAGACCTTATTAATATCCCCTTTATTAATACCTATCTTCCACTTATACACTTCGATCAGGTCTCCTCTCATTCTTCGTCTAACAAGTGAATGTAACTTAAGAGTCTTCAATCTTTCTTCATAAGGAAGATTTCTGATGCTATGTATTAATTTAGTCATCCTACGCTGAATGTTTTCTAACGAATTTATGTCCATTTTGTAAAACGGAGACCAGAACTGAGCTGCATAATCAAGGTGAGGCCTTACTAATGATGTATAAAGCTGCAGTATGACCTCTGGACTTCTGTTGCTTACACTTCTTGATATAAATCCCAGTAATCTATTTGCCTTATTACGTACGCTTAGGCATTGCTGTCTTGGTTTAAGGTTGCTGCTCACCATAACCCCCAAGTCCTTTTCGTAATCTGTATGGCTAAGTTCTACATCATTTAATTTATAAGTACTAGGGTTATGGGCACTCCCAAGCTTCAGAACCTTGCATTTATCTACATTGAACTGCATCTGCCACTTTTCTGACCAAGAATAGAGTTTGTTTAAATCCTCCTGAAGTTCCCTAACATCTACGTTTGAATCAATTATCCTACCTATCTTTGTGTCATCGGCGAATTTGCTCATATCATATTATTATTATTATTATTATTATTATTATTATTATTATTATTATTATTATTATTATTATTATTATTTTATTCATAGTAGTAATAGTAGTATTAGAAGTAATAGTAGCCAGAGAAGCTGTAATATGAAGACTTTCCCCGGACTCTCATACTTACAAACATATTTTTAATTTCTTTTTATAGCCTTCAACAAATACGAACATCCTTCAATCATCCTTTAAGAGATCTTTGGACTTAATCAAGCATCCTTCAAGAGATCCTTCGACTGAATCAAGCATCCTAGAAGTCATCCTTCGACTGAAACAGGAATCCTTCAAGTCATTCTTTTACTGAAACAAGCATCCTTGAAGTCATCCTACGAATGACTCAGGAATCCTTCAATGAATCAAGCATCCTTCAAGCCACCTTACAGTTAAATCAAGAATTTTCACGTTATATTACGTCTAAAGGAAAATTCGTTGATACCATCCTTCAGTTGTTGCGAACATCCTTCACGACATCTTACAACTGACGCAAGTCTTCTTCATACGGCTGACGCAAACCTACACTATACTCTACCTTCGCTATGCTATCTTCGATGTAAACGTCATCCAGTACTACGACAGACAAAAATCTGTCAGACGATATACTGGTTAATGGATGCAGCCTTCAAGCCATTTTACATCTAAGAGTGCTGTAAACCTCCGTCAGACTATCAATCTACTGAAGCAAACATCCTCCGAGCAATGATCCTCAACCCACCTTGACCTCAAGTTTCTTCTTGTCTCCTCTCATCATTTCTTTCCTCCTGTGTACCTAAATCTTGCGATTTTTTGCCTATTTTCCGTGGTCAGTTAAATTCTCTTCTTCCAACCGTGTTCTGTATATATTTAAGAAGATTGTAAAAAGAATTGGCCCGACTTCCGCTTTTGAACTATTTCGTGTATAGCGCATTTCTAACGGCTTCCACTCTAAAGGAATGCATGATCTCATATACTGTATATGCACACATTTATTGACAAAACTGTGTAGTTATGAACTGATACATATTACGCATATAACAATAAAGATTAAAAGCGAGTCAATTAAATAATATCGGAATCATATGTTTAACTGTGACTTCATGTAATTATCCACATGGGTTTTATGTACACTACAGGCTATAATAAATAAATAATAGAAATTCAATGAATACAGTATTTACTCAGATTTTTTATTATTATTATTATTATTATTATTATTATTATTATTATTATTATTATTATTATTATTATTATTATTAATGTTATTATTATTGCATGATTATCATTATTAAGGGCGTGACTATTATTTTTATCAACATTTTATTAATCATTTATTTTTTAATAAGCATACTCACTGTCAAGTGCTTTATAATGTAGAAAAAATTGTAGCTCAAGCTAATGACTGTACTTAGTACATTTTATTACTACATCAGGTGTTACAACAGTAGAAAATATGCATATATTTATTAATAAAATGTTGTAACATTATTGTTATCAATCACAAACAAAACCTCCTTATTTAAAAACTCTTCAAGTGCTTTAAAAATCCAGTCTTGGTAACAGCAGTTTCTGGAACAAGATATGTTCACCAAGAGGTGTTTAACACTAATCTTAAGGACTAAAATATTCTTGTCTGGTGGTGGACAGGTTACGTGCAGCTTTAATGGCCCTTGTGTAGTCGATAGGTTTTAAACTCCATTAACCAACCAGCTTCTGTTCGGATCTGCTGCTGGTCAAGACGACTTTTATTGTGGCTCATGGTTATTCTTGTTTTTTTTTAAATTATCTAAATATATTATTACTTTAACAGCAGCAGGAAATTGCTGTGTGTATTAAAAGCATTGCTGGGAAAGGGAACGAGTTAGGTCAGAAGTTATGTATAACTTGATCTGTTGCACCGGTCCGTTCCAGCAAGGAGAGGCTTTGTTATTGGTAAACGGCTCCTGATCCGAGGAAGTAGAGATACCTTCTCCTTTCTAAAATCGAACAGACTTGATCACTTCCCAATGTCTATGTGCTGCATGACTCCTACGGGTTTAGGGTTTCCCCATCAGTACGTAAATAATAATGATGTGTTGATTTTGGCGTTTATCACAGTGCTGAGCATTTAATGTGAATTCTTAGTTATTAATTCTTAAGCTGCAGTGGTTAGTTTGAACACATAATGTAGTGGTTAGTTTGAACTCATAATGTAGTGGTTAGTTTGAACACATAATGTAGTGGTTAGTTTGAACACATAATGTAGTGGTTAGTTTGAACACATAATGTAATGGTTAGTTTGAACACATAATGTAATGGTTAGTTTGAACACATGATGCAGTGGTTACTTTGAACACATGATGTAGTGGTTAGTTTGAACACATAATGTAGTGGTTAGTTTGAACACATGATGTAGTGGTTAGTTTGAACACATAATGTAGTGGTTAGTTTGAACACATAATGTAGTGGTTAGGTTGAACACATAATGTAATGGTTAGTTTGAACACATGATGTAGTGGTTAGTTTGAACACATAATGTAGTGGTTAGTTTGAACACATAATGTAGTGGTTAGTTTGAACACATAATGCAGTGGTTAGGTTGAACACAAGATGTGGTTAGTCTGAACACATGATGTAGTGGTTAGTTTGAACACATGATGTAGTGGTTAGTTTGAACACATGATGTAGTGGTTAGTTTGAACACATGATGTAGTGGTTAGTTCCTGTGTAGCAATTAGCAGACTTGTAACTTGATCAGTGCTTCCTTCTTCATACTGTTAAATTCAACAAATGTTTTAATTATAAATATAAGCAACATCTAAAAATCTTAACTTGTTGTGGGTTAAAAATAATCAAATATCGTATTCAAAATAGAATTGTCCTAATTACAAAAAAACATGGTTCTTTTAATGCAGTTTCCAGGGTAATAAATAATATTTGTATAAATAAATATTCTTTCTGGAATAACTTAACCCTGACAACTGAAAAACATTGTTAAAGTCAACATAATGGAAATTATTCCTTATATGAATAAATGATAGATAGTTCTGGCTTTTTTTTAATTAGCGGAGGTAACATAACAACTCTTCGACTTGTGATGAATGGTTTGAAAAACCGACAAGTTGAAGATTGAGACACTTATGCAGCATATGGGAATCTTTATTCAGGAAACGTTTCGCCACACAGTGGCTTCATCAGTCCAATACAAAGAGGAAGGCGTAAGGAGAGGAGGAGAATGAGGTAATCAGTCCCTCAACCTGGAGTCGATGTGTTCAGTCCATCAATCTTGTAGAATGTACAGCATAGGGCCGTAGACGTGGCTTATATACTGTAGTGAGGTGACGTGAAGCAGATGGAGGCGGGGTCATAGTGGTACCATCCACTAGTCGAAGTAGGTCTTCGTCCAAAGGTTGAACCATTCATCACAACTGTCAGACACGGCAGCATCATGGGGTCTTGTTACAAAGAATTCTTCAACACTTGTTCAACCTTTGGACGAAGACCTACTTCGACTAGTGGATGGTACCACTATGACCCCGCCTCCATCTGCTTCACGTCACCTCACTACAGTATATAAGCCACGTCTACGGCCCTATGCTGTACATTCTACAAGATTGATGGACTGAACACATCGACTCCAGGTTGAGGGACTGATTACCTCATTCTCCTCCTCTCCTTACGCCTTCCTCTTTGTATTGGACTGATGAAGCCACTGTGTGGCGAAACGTTTCCTGAATAAAGATTCCCATATGCTGCATAAGTGTCTCAATCTTCAACTTGTCGGTTTTTCAAACCATTCATCACAACTGTCAGACACGGCAGCATCATGGGGTCTTGTTACAAAGAATTCTTCAACACTTGTTCAACCTTTGGACGAAGACCTACTTCGACTAGTGGATGGTACCACTATGACCCCGCCTCCATCTGCTTCACGTCACCTCACTACAGTATATAAGCCACGTCTACGGCCCTATGCTGTACATTCTACAAGATTGATGGACTGAACACATCGACTCCAGGTTGAGGGACTGATTACCTCATTCTCCTCCTCTCCTTACGCCTTCCTCTTTGTATTGGACTGATGAAGCCACTGTGTGGCGAAACGTTTCCTGAATAAAGATTCCCATATGCTGCATAAGTGTCTCAATCTTCAACTCTTCGACTTGTAACCTGTTTGTCTAAAAGTGTATTAGATAGCGAGGCTGTCCAAAAATTCAATGTTGACGCTGCTTATTCCAAGAAGATTGATCAACCATACAGCATTTTGCGTATTCATGTAGGAAATATATAATATATATATATATATATATATATATATATATATATATATATATATATATATATATTATATATATATATATATATATATATATATATATATAATATATATATATATATATATATATATATATATATATATATATATATATATATATATATATATATATATATATATATATATAATATATATATATATATATATATATATATATATAATATATATATATATATATTATATATATATATATATAATGTATGTATGTATAATATTTGAAAACAGATAAAAGTGCAACTATTACCGTGTACCTGCCTTGAAAGCAAAAATATATTTGATGTTAAGGGAAATGAAAGCACCGTCGTTTACTAGTTACATACAATACAGTTTCAAAATACTCTTGACAATGTCAGTTGATAATGAACTTTGTTTTCTGCACTAAAAGCACGATTTTCATTATATTGTTCGTCATTTCATGGTTTTTACAATATGTTACAAAGATTTCTAACAGTTTAATAATACTTGCTTTAATTTCTATCAATAATTTCACCGTTCCCGTTGTATTTATATATCGTTTCATACAATTAGTTACTACAATTAGCAAATTGTACATGCCTCACTTTTCTACATAGAACTCTAGTCTGTGGAATAACGCTTGCGTTAGCACAGACGATGACAGAAGGTGCATGACAGGCAAGCCACTAACTACACAGTGCAGAGATAAGGTGCATGTCACACCTGAAGCAGCACAGCAGTAGCTGAGAAAAGTTTTACAACGTATGACCTTGACGCATCTCAAACCATTGACAGTGACAGTAAATAAACTAAAACTTGTGTGGCAAGCTGCAGTGAAATTCGAAGTGTGGACAGTAAATGACTCTATGACATGTGAGTGATCACTTAAAGAACATAAAGGCACAATACCGTGACTGGAACAATACACAAATAACCAGCACATAAGAGAGAGGTTACGGCGACGTGTAAATGGTCCAAGTCGGACCGAAATGTCGTCATAATCTCTTCTCTCTCCTAAGTGCAAGTTATTTGTGGAATGATCACTTGTTTAGACAACCATGGTCAACTTGCTTGCCACATGGAATATACTCTCTGGAGCGAAGACAGAGACATGTGATAATGCACACATGGAAGTTATTGGAGGGTCATGTCCCAAATCTACACACTACCGTAAGATCTTGCTGGACCTTGCACTGAGACCTTGCTCCAGTATGATGAACATTAGCTCACCGCCATGATCCATCCCACGCTCTGAAACACATACCTTGAAAGCTCTTACTGAAACTAGAACTGGTGCCTGTTTATCTTATATGTCAAAGCTGCCTGTGGAAAGTAATTATCAAAGCTCATATGAACGCCATCCTCACATGACATCAAATTATTGCGTTCAAAAAAGTTTCGAATGTTATTCCATTCATCATCTGAAGTCTAAAATATTTTATAATAGATTAAAACTCTATCGTGAAATAATACTATTTGAACATGCAAGTTAAAACTTATGCAGTATTAAATAAGAGAAATGAACTCCAAAAATGAGCATTTGGAGACTAGAGAAAGAACACAACGGTTACTATACTGGTGATTTCTTTGAACAGCTTCTGAATGTCAAACATTCTAAAATAGATGACTAATATATATCACACACACTACCTCAACTGTCCTATTTATGAGATCATAGATCTAAAATTCTCCTTTAAGTGTTCCATGTGCATATTTGCTAATAAGGCACTAATGAATGAGCTTTAGGCCATCCCAAAACTCTCGTAGGGAAAAGGAAGGTCCATATATTTTTTAAATTTTATTGGTAAAAGAACATTAGTAGCAAATAAAGTTTTTACTGATATGGTATTTCACCAACTGGGTTTTATTTTGATCAAGTTTCACTTTACGGAGGCTCACTGCCATTCGTTTGCATGCCGAGATTATCTCTCGCAAAAAAGCGAAGGTAAAGAACATAAGGACATAAGAAAGAAGGAACACAGCAACAGGCCAATTCGAGGCAGGTCCAATTCTCCCACCGGCTTAAGCCAATACCTTGATCTAGTGAGGTCAGACACGTCACTTAAGGGAGGAGCACGGCATCCGACCTAGTAGCACAAGCTAGTCAGGTCCAACTCACACCCACCCACACCCACTAATGTATTTATCCAACCTATTTTTAAAACTACACAACGTTTTTGCAAAAGTAATGATCACCATACATTGCCAGCAAAATGTC